ATTATAGGTGAACGGAGAAGACCCTCTCAAAATTTAGCTTTCCAGCTTTTTTGTTCTCCGAGTTAGCAGTTTTTCTGCCAAAACTTTCGCATGTTCGCACATGAGACTCAAACATGTGCGGAAATAAGTACCACGTTCCTGAAATAACATTTGAACACAGAACCCGTTGGCAAAGTTTTAAAGTTAAAGTTTACCTGGCTGTCGGTTGAAATATGCGGATAGGCGCACACACAGAATATGCGGATAGGCGCACATATAAATTTAAAGGAGATGTTTTCCATCCAAGTAGGTGTTAATAAGCTCAAACCCGGACGCCAGGTGTGCGTGGTACCCGCGTATGTGCCCGCCAATGTTTTTTCGGGTAAGTTGTTAACTCAGGGAACTGAAAAGTTAGAAAGCTGAGATTTTAAGGGGGTGTTTCCTGACAGTAGCCAGTCTTAATTTGTTTAGCTAGGAGCATTTGCCGGAAAACCCGTGCCGGTAGCGACAAAAAATGCGGGGAACTATGCAAAAAACGCATCTTCGCACGGGCAGCCCGTGCGTTGGTCAATTATGCAATGCAGAAAACGCATACTGACGAGGAGTTTCCCGTGTTTGTGTGTGTTTGCTTGTGCGTCTGTACCGGTTTTTCATCTCAAAACCTATAATAATTGGCAAACGCACGGGCTGCCCGTGCGAAGATGCGTTTTTTACACAGTTCCCCGCAGTTTTTGTCGCTACCACCACCGGTTTTTTCGACAAATGCTTTTAGCTAAACAAATTAAGATTGGCCGCCAGAACTGTCAGGAAACACCGCCTTAAAATTTAAGCTTTCTAACTTTCCAGGCTCCTAAGTTAGCAGCTTGTCCGAAAAAAATTTGGCGGCCCTTATGTGGTTACCACGAGTACCCGGAGTTTGGGTTTGAGCTCAATGAGACTTATGTGAACTGGGAATATCCTCTTAAAATTACAGTCCTTTAGCTTTTCAAATTCCCGAGTTATCAGCCTAGCCAAAAAAAACTTTGGCGGGCCCGTGCGTGGGTATCACGCACATCCGAGTACTGGATTTGAACACGTTAATGTCCACTTGGACTTGGAACATCCCCATAAGATTTCAGCTTTCTAGCTTCTCAGATCTTCGAGTTACGAACTTACCCGAAAAGAATTTTGGCGGGGCTCGTACGCGGGTACCACGCTTACCCGGAGGATGGGTTTGAGCTTATTAACACCAATATGGACGGGGAACATCCCCTTAAGATTTCAGCTTTCTAGCTTCTCAGATCCTCGAGTTATGAACTTACCCGTAAAAAACTTTGGCGGGCTCTTACGTGGGTGCCACGCGGGTAATGGCGCCCATTTTGGGGGTTAGACTCCTACGTTCATGTAGATTAAGTTCCCAAAGTTTCAGCCCTGTAGCTTTTGTAGGTTTTGAGATGAAAATGCGTGACAGACGCACACACAGACACGTAAACACTCAAACACGCGGACAACGCCTCATTAATATGCGTTTTTTCATTACATAGCTGCAAAAAACGCATAAAAACTACATGTTGAAACTTTGGGGACTTAATTAGTTTCATAAACCTAAGCATTAGTTTCATAAATAGGGGAGCCTAATGAGGGGCTTTTGCGGGACAGCTTTACCTAGGCATCAGTTTCACAAGTAGGAGAGTTCCCTAGTGATGACGGGTTTTTGTGGAACAGCTTTACCTAAGCGTCAGTTTCATAAAAAGGGAAGTCCCGTACTGATGACGGGCTTATATGGATCAGTTCTCACTAGCAAAACCTCAGTTTCTTTTGTTTTTATTCATAAAGTCAGATTTGCTTCAATTTACTTTTATTTGTGTGCGCAGTGCTGTCTTTTTTTCTTTACTGCTATCTCTAGTTCTTGCCCCAAGCTCCTGACTTGCATCGTCATTCCCCTTCTTTACCCTGTCCCGAATCCTGCTAGCAAACAAGATATAGACCCCTCTCCATCCGTACTATGACATCACTGTTCAAACAAACAGTATTTACCTTTCCCTACCCCAAGTGTCTATGGTAAAAACAAGGAGCACACTTCCTCATCTTTTCCGTTCTTCACCGCCCCCCTCTCCTCTCCAAATGCACGCTACTTAGTCAATCGGCAAAGGATCTACGCCATTTGGTCTTTATATCCACCTATCCTAGCCCCCTCTCCTATCTCGAACGAAACCCGCCA